TCTCTCTCCCTCCTTCAGCCATCCATTCAGTCATTCTCTTTCTCTTTGTCTGACTCCCGCCCCTTCGTACTATCTCTCACTTGATAATTGTAATCTCCCTCTTAGTTACTCCCTTTCTCCCCCTCTTTCTCATTCACATTCACTCACCCATCTCTCTATTACTTAACAGCTCTCTTGCTTTCACCCACTCACTTATTAATTTCTTTTTCGCGTTCCCACTTGCTCATTAGTTTTTATCTCTCTTTCTTATTGTTCTTTCTTTTATTCACATCTACTAATTAAACAAACTCACTACCGTTTCTCCCCCCCCCCTCTCTCTCTCTCTCTCTCTCTCTCTCTCTTTTCTATCTCTCTCTCTCATCCACTCACTCACAATTAATTCCCATACCCCTCTACCTCTCTCCTCCATTGACGCACACAACCAGTTTGTCCCCATCTTTATTTACCCCGTCCTCCATATCATGCATGGCGCCTGCGTCCACCTTCTTCGCCCAAGCCCCCTACAAATTGTTATATATAATTCTATATAATTACAATTGCAGCGGAAATTATCAATGGAAATTGCAGTGGTGGCAGTGGATGTGCCAATGTAGGCTGCCCAGAAAAAATATTAATCGATCTCTCACATACACATTGACACACACAAACTCCCACACCCTTCGTTTGTGCGTGTGTGTTTGTGTGTGTGTGTGTGAGAGAGAGAGAGAGAGGGTGGGGACACCTTTTGTTTATCTGCTAGTGGATATGTATTTGACACATTTGCCCTCCTTTAAAGTTGAAAAGAAAAAAAATATTTTACAAATAATTTCTTTAAAAAGAAAAAAATATATGCGCAATATACCAATAAAACAATATTCATTATTTTCTTTGACTTGTATAAAGGAAAAAGGTAAATATTTGACAAGAACGGAAAACAGAAAACAACTTGATATTACGTATCGGACTAATTGCATGAGAGGAACAAAGCAAACGTTGAGTACGGCAGTTCATCGATCTGAGATGTTTACTAGTCTCAGAACACTTGAACATTTTATACCAAACTTGTTAAATGACTATGATTACTTTATAAGTATCTGTTTAACACGTAATTGATCGCCTAGTAACTCCTTGGTTTCATTTAATCACCAGGTTAATCCGCACTATGTATTTATTGTATGCATTTACAGAACGATGGAGACTTTACCGTGTTTACAGGGAGTCGAGATAAATCATCTTTCCGTTGAAATACCTCATACCAGTTACTCAAGACTGTGCATCGCTCTGGGGTTTTTCTTTAATCAGAATCAATCAATTCTTGCAAGACATCAAAATAACTACAATGTGGCTATGGAGGAAATCCTGAATATGTGGAAAAATAAACAAACAGACACAAGCCAATCACGATCAATCCTGGCGACGAAGCTTCATGATGTGGAGCTTGGTGAACTGGGAAAAAAATTATCTCGAGGTAAACAGTCGATTGTGTGCTATTGAATAAACAATATCTATATTGTATGACTTAGTTATTAAATTCAAGGTAAATTTGATCAGTCTAGCATTCTAGCTGTATTGTTTGATTCATGAAATTTAAATATTGTTCGTATCTAAATGTAAAATATGTTTTGATGTTCGAATCTCTCGAGCAATTGATGCATAAATAACATCATAAATTACTATGTAAACATTTCCTGTAGGTGAATATCTCCCAAAGCAGCAGGACCCACATGAACAAGAGGTGACTCCACCGCAAAGTAGCTCAGGTATGAATGCTTTAAAATGCTTTATGACTGCAAAATCCCGGCTAGTTCGCTAGTAAATATGTTATGTTCCTTGTTTAATGTTCAATGTAATTTGTTGTCTAAAGCACGGTTAACATGCATATTTGTTTCGCTCAAATGTACAATTAAGGCTCAGATTTTTTTTTACAAAGAAGATACATTACATGGATACATTTTGGTAAGGACAAATAATAAATAATAATCATACGTAATGTTGATTCTCGTTTAGTTATGGGTTGTTTCGTTTCTGCAAGTTACGTAGTGTAACAAATATAATCCATGCATATTTATGAATTAAAAGTTATTACCACTAAACAGACATTATTAAAAAATTAAGGTGAGTTTTATTATCTCGGATTGAATCTGATAAATTATATAAAATATTTCTCAATTCCTATTAACGAAACATAATATTAAAGGAAGAAGCAGAAACTTTGGATTACAGAAAAATTATATTTTGTTACATGCCCTGATTGAATACGGAACTAGTGTGTTTGTAAATCGCTGTGTCCTACATCTTATTGACTTCAATCTTCTTCCTGATCTAAGAAATTCATGAAAATAAAATAAAGGATGATTGCCTTTTGTCATGATTTATTTAGCTTTTTTGAACGGTTCTCTTGATACACCCCCCCCCCCCCCCCCCACGACCTGCTTTACGCTAGTGATTCTTTCTGCATGTTTGGCTATTATTTTACAGTTTTGCAAGATCCCGTTTTCTAAAACCTACAAACTGTACAATATAATTTTTTAACATAACGCTCTGTACTGTCGAAACATAACAAAAACCTAACAATTGTCCAATCCACATGAAAGGACTTAATATTCCGTAGGAAATCCATTCTTTGCTATGCTTTTCCCGTTGTAGAGCGCCATGTACGTTATTCTGTTTTTAGCTACAATGCGTAATTACGAAGAATACGATGCTGTTTGAATTAGAGATATTTTACTGGGCTGCCATGTTCCTTGTCCTTCTCATTCCTCACCTTTTTATTTTACTTGTCATCCCTCTGAATTTGTTATTAATTCATCCTGTCGCGTTCTCTTTTCTCCTGCCTAAATGCTACTGAATGAATAATATCTATGTATGATTTCGTTAATAAATTGAAGGTAAATATGACCATTCTAGCAGTCTAGCTGTATTGTTCGATTAATGAAATTTAAATATTGTTCGTATTCAAATGTAAAATATGTTTTGATGTTCGAATCTCTCGAGCCATGGATGCATAAATAACATCAGAGATTACTATGTAAACATTTTCTGTAGGTGAATATCTCCCACAGCAGCAGGACCCACTTGAACAAGAGGTGACTCCACCGCAAAGTAGCTCAGGTATGATTGCTTTAAAACAGCTATTATTCTCTTTGGAAGGGGGGAGTGGCTTATACAACAATATGCAAACCAGACGATATAGTTAGGCATAGCCCCTAGGTTATTTAGGAAAGAAAAGAATATTAACGATATTTTAATGCCCACTTCGAATGACAAAATTATCGATTTGACATATAAGGCATACGATTGTAAAAGTTCAAATGACTTTTTCGAGTTTCCGCCAATATTCCGTTAAAGAGTTTAACTGTTTTTTCCATGCTTGCAGGCTACTGAAGGTAATGTTTATACATTTTCGTAACAGGTTCATATATTTGAAAATACCGAAAGCAAACATTTAAAATTAATTGACGCTATCAGAGATTTAGGCAAAACTACATTTTCTCATTTTTAGTCATATTAACAGTGAAGTGTGAGTCCGATACTGTATTGCCGTTTTGACCGAAAATGCGTGTGACTGCAAAATCCCGGCTAATTCGCTAATAAAAATATTCTTGTTCAATGTTCAATGTAATTATTTGTCTAAAGCACGGTTAACATGGATATTTGTTTCACTCATATAAACAATTAAGGCTCAGAATATTTTTTACAAACGACATAAATAAGATGGATACATTTTGGTAATGACAAATAATACTAATACTTGATGTTGATACTCGTTTAGTTTAATGGCTTGTTTCGTTTCCACAAGTTACGTAGTTAAACTAATTCATGCATATTTATAAATAACAGTTAGTACCACTAAGCACCCTTTATTAAAAAATTAAGCTGAATTTTATTATATCGGATTGAATCTGATAAATTATATAAAATATTCATACTGAATTATATTTGTAGATGATTACTGGGTACCACATCGTAATAATTACTTTAACTAAACATTCATTTCACTCAATTCCAAAAGAAACATAATATTTAAGAAAGGAGCAGAAACTTTGGATTACAAAACGCGTTTTTTGTTTGTTATATGCCCTGATTGAATACGGAACTAATGTGTTTGTGAATCGCTGGGTCCTACATCTTATTGACTTCAATCTTCTTTCTGATCTGAGACATTCATAACAATTAAATAAAGGATGATTGTTATTTGTCATGATTTCTTTGGCTTTTTGAACAATTCTCTCGATACCCCCCCCCCCCCCCCCACCACCACAAGTCTTTCTTTACGCTAGTGATTCTTTCTGCATGTTTGGCTATTATTTTCCAGTTTTGCAAGATCCCCTTTTCTACAACCTGCAAACTATACAATATAATTTAATAACATATCGCTCTGTACTGTCGAAACATAACAAATACCTAACAATTGTCCTATCCACATGAAAGGACATCATATTCCGTAGGAAATACATTCTTTGCTATGCTTTTCCTGTTGTAGGGCTCAATGTACGTTGGCCAGTTTTTAGCTATATGCGTATAATTATGGAGAATCCGATGCTGTATGGATCTTAATTGGAGATATTTTACTGGGCTGCCTTATTCCTCGTCCTTCTCATTTCTCACTCCTTCATTTTACTTGTCATCCCTCTGAATTTGATATTCATTCATGCTGTCGCTAATTTCTCTTTTCTCCTGTTTCTCTTTCTTTCTTGAATTCTTCATTTTTCCTACTTTCTTTCTCTATAATTCTTCTTTTTCTTTTCTTGTTCTCCCTTCTCCTAATTCTTCCCCCCCCCCCTCTGTTTTCATGTTTTCCTTCCCTTTTTTGCCGGAAGAGGTGACACATTTGCCTGTAACTCCCATAACCCCTCCCCCTCCCTCTTGCAACGCCCCTGAGAGCACAGGGTCGTTCCAGGAGACCCAGAGCCCACGAGTAGGAGGCCCAAGAGACAGATAGACAACGACACTGACAAAACAAATAAATACATAAGGCATTTATCAAGAATGTCGGTTTTGTGAACCCTCTGAAAATAGAAATGTCTGGTAAAAGAATAGACCGGTCAAGCTTTGATACTTATTATAAAATATTTCGATATATAAACATAATTCGTGACTCAAGATGGATTGAAATTATTAATTTGGCGTCTTGGGAAGTGACTGCACGACTGGACTTTCCTTCACCCTGTGCCTCTCTCTCCCTCAATTTCTGTTTGAAAAAGTTATTTAATAAACAGGAAAAAATATACCAAAGATTTTCAATATCGATTTGGAGATAAAGTTTTCCTGACTGATCCATACAGTCTAATCAACGATAACAACAGCCTTGAGTGCGTTTCTAGGCCTTTACTTCGTGGCAAAACTGAGGCAAATCGTCAGAATTCATGTATTTCAACGAGAAAACAAAAATCATCCCCCAAACCTTGCGAAGGGGTTGATATATCATGTGAGTAAAATAAGACATTTGGTGTTATATATGCTTGTATCATTCCAGGTATCTACAATGAGAAGATCTCAGCATCATTAACTGTTGAGCGATGTCGCGAAAAGTTGAAGAATAAGTACCGAAAACAATTGTGCAAAATTCAAATGAAACCGTGGGATAAAAGTGATTATGCTGAGTTCAAAAATATGCACACGGTTGTCACAATGGTGAAGAAGGACACTAGTGGACAAAACATGAACAAAAAGGAAATACTTAAGGGTTCTGTTGCTGAAATATTTTCAACGAAAGTAAACGGAGAACTGCCAGCCCGAATCCTCATTTCGGCCCCCGCTGGGAGAGGGAAGACCACGGCTGTCGCTAAGATGGCTTACGACTGGGTTCACAGAGAAAAGGGGTCAGCATTAGAACTACTGCCACTTCTGTTTGTTGTGCAATTCCGAAACACAAGTAAGCTTACATCGATCGGAGAAGCTATCAAAACCCAGCTTTTGAGTGATGTAGATGATCTCACACCAGAGGGTCTCGAGAGTTTCATTAGAGAGAATCAGAGCATCTGTCACATCATACTAGACGGGCTTGACGAGTATGCGGGTATCTCTTCTTTAGAACGAAGCTCAGAGAGCAATATTGTCAGTGTCATCCGCTGGGAGGAATTTCCAGAGTGTCGAGTCCTTGTAACAACACGCCCTCACCTAGAAAACTTCTTCAATCAAGATGATCTTCCAAGGGTATACACAAAGATGTGGATCGAAGGATTCTCGCGAGAGAGCTCACGTGAGTACATCGACAAGTTCTTTGGTTCGACTTCGAATAGTTATAGCAGAAATGGTCATGGTCTGAAGGTTTACCTTGATGAACAACCACTTATTAATGAACTTGTTAAAACACCTCTATTTTGTCTCATGGTCTGTCATTTATGGAGCGAGGGGCTTTTAAACACTGAAACTACCACTCAAACAGATTTATTAGACAGCGTAAATGTATTTCTGATACAACATGCCAATGCCCGATCAAAATCAAAAGACGAAATAACAGAGGAAGAACTTACTAAAATCATTCATAAACTGGGTAAGGTTGCTCTAGCTGGTCTAGTCGACGACTCTAAAAAACTGGTGTTTACGCCCCACGATTTTCGAAGAGTTCCGGCTATCCTTGATAGGGCATTCGAGCTTGGGTTGCTATCCACCTTTACGATTCCAAAGACAAGGCTCCCACGATCCAACAAGACCACTTCCACTACCATTGAATTTTATCACAAACTCGCTCAGGAACACTCGGCTGGGAAATACCTCGCTGCTAAAACGAAGACATATATGTTACGACTGAAGATTTCTAAGTTAGACAGACTGCTGCGAGACATCAAAGCAAACATCGGGGATTATGAGAATCTCATCCGATTCGCTGCTGGCACAAACAACAGCCTTTGCGTACGAATAATGGAGGTGCTCCTTTCCAACAGCTTTTTGGATGAGAGCGAGCGATATCGAATTCTCCTTGACTGCTCATCAGAGACCAAGGGAACTGAAGGAAACGTGTCTTCGTTGGTTCAAAGATGTGTGAATGCAGAGAGTATTGTTCTGAAGTCACCGACTGTCTACACCGTCGTTGGAATGCAAAATCTTCCAAAGCAACTTAAACGTCAGGTATGCGCATTTTCATCTCACAAAATATGTTTACAATAATGATTTCATAAAGATTGTTTACATTTTCATTTCTCTGCTGCTACTATGAGTCAAATCGCTAATATATTTTGTGTAAATGTATTCTTATTCATAATTAACCACATCGCGATAAATCATACTGCATGATACAACGATCAATACCGTGATACATAGTCATTATCATTCTATGTTTGCCCAACGACGGCCTCAAGCAAGATAATAAATGTTTTACTTATTAATGTAAAGGAGTAGGGGAGGGAGCTCCCATTACTTACCGGATAATATTCTGAGAAAAGATCAAGCTATACAGTCTTGATTTTAATGATTACGGCAAAAAAAAAAGGAGATCAACTAATTAATGTCATTTAATTCGTATAATCTGTCACTAAACTCTCTTTTGTTTTAATCTCTCTATCTTTCTATTTTTACACTAGGTTATGACTATAAAGTTCGAGGGATCTACTTTGACTACCGACGTGACGAGTGGACTATGGTGTTGCCTGGAATCATTTTCGATGCTACGTACTCTGACCATCTCAGACTCCTCTCTCAGTTTTCCTCCATCTACCCATGAGCTTCCATCCGTCAAAAAGCTAACAGCCGAGAGAGTGACGTCACAAAGCTATGAAGGTCTGCTCTCATTGCTTCCTGGCTTGGAAGATATCGATATCACTATCGATGATGCAGAGAGAGACATACGTCAGATCACGGCTGGTCTTCGTCGGACCGTAGGACAGCAGCTCACACGCATCAAGCTTAGAGCACCGTACACACTCCCATCAGAGAAGAAGAGTGTATCGAGAGAGACGATGAGAGGACTGGGCCTTCTGATCAAAGAACAAACCAAGAACCTACAGTGGCTAACTCTGAGATATTTGAAGTGCTCAGACGAGGAAGACTTGGTTTACCTCATCGAGTGCTGCAGACGGGTGAAGACGATGTCATACGTGTGGTAGGTTCTTGTTCAAATCGTGTATAAAATAGATTAAAATCCTACTAGATTATTCTATTCAGTTACTCTGCAGTAGTAGGCCTAAAGCATAATGATACAAATGCGTGATAAGATGCAAAGGTTAAAACGTGGGTGTAATTTCCAAGTCTTTGACTGAAAGTTAAGATGGGTTTTGTTTGATTATCGCTCTCAACTCTTATTTTATAATTTTTAAGTAGACTAGGGTTTAGTCACTAGCAATGAATATAATTTGAATGCCTGTATTAAAAATCCAAAATTGTAATAGGTCTAGAAAATATGCAGTTGAATGTATTATTAAGAGTATGCACCGTTGGAAGCTAAATTAATGTAAGTCCATGTCCCGGGGTCCATGTTGACTTAAAATAAAAACCATAGATTTTCTATCCTTATAAAATTAATTATCATTCTATCATGAATTATTATTATTATAATTATTACGATTATATCGTAGCATTCTAGACCATAATTCGACTTATAATTGGTGAATTTTCGAAGCTTAAACAATGCCAAACTAGGGGAAATTACTAGTTTTCACGATTCCCCCCCCCCCCGCCGGAGGTTGATTCATCATCTAAAATTAATTTCGATTTTAAATATCTTCAGGCCCGTAGCCAGAGTTTGATGTTGGGGGGGGGGGGGGGGGGGGGGGTTGGGTACATAGACCTAGATCTACATGTAGTTGATCGACGTCCTGGGGAGGGGTCTAACAAAGTTCAACCAAGCCCCCCCCCTCCCCCCCCCCCCCCCCCCCCCCCCCCCCCCCCCCCCCGTGGCTACGTGCCTGAATATCTTTGAAAATATATTTGTTATTCAAGGCTGAATCACTTTTGCCTTTAAACTGATGCTCGAGAGCTGTTTCATCGAATCAAATTTAGCTAGAATCGATCTTGATAAATTTTAGGTTAAACAAAGGGCTCTGTGATCAAGGCTAGTCGATGTTACTTAGGTCAACCACAAAAATGCGTCGCTAAACTACTGCAAGAGTAGACCGAATTTTCCGTCTCTTTCGTTCGTTAGCCTCTTATTGGGGTAGGGTCGGCTCTCTCTTTAGAGACGGAAGCCGTTTATACACATGTCCTTGCTAACGCCACGGCCAGTTCTGGTCGTAGCGTTTTGCCCCAAAATCCCCCAAAATGTCATTTTACCTCGAGCATGTTATATTGTAAATTAGGCCTAGGCTATAATAAATCAGTTCCACTTACCAACTTGACTGAAATAATCAGTTTAATAGTCCCTTTTTAGGAAATTATGGGTCAAAATCGAAATCCATTTTGAAAATCTTTTTCAACATGGATTCCGATTTTGACCCATAATTTCCTAAAAAGGGACTATTAAACTGATTATTTCAGTCAAGTTGGTAAGTGGAACTGATTTATTATAGCCTAGGCCTAATTTACAATATAACATGCTCGAGGTAAAATGACATTTTGGGGGATTTTGGGGGCAAAACGCTACGACCAGAACTGGCCGTGGCGTTAGCAAGGACATGTGTATAAACGGCTTCCGTCTCTAAAGAGAGAGCCGACCCTACCCCAATAAGAGGCTAACGAACGAAAGAGACGGAAAATTCGGTCTACTGCAAGAGAGGTCCTCAAAAAGTGAGTTAATTCCATTTTCTTCTAAAATATTCATTCTGTTGAAAACAAATTTTGGTGGAAGGAAAGTATTCTTCTCATTTTTTAACCGAACGATATTTGACATAAATATCAATACTAGATCTAGTAATAATAGGGTCTAGCGTTCCCCAACTTCTGAGCTAAAAATAAGATGGACGAATTGCATTGGTTCATGCATTTCCGTCCCATTCATTACATCCATGCATGTCCAACTCTACTTGTCTAACGACATTGAATATTTGGTTATGACAGGTCTGAATTAATTAGGAAATATAGTTTATTCTTGCGTTTGATGACAAAATAAATAAGTCCACCACGGCTTTAGAAATCATCGCGTTGAATGGTCGCCGATAAAAAGTCTAGTGCGTAGAATCTATGCCTAGATCTAGGCTATAAATTGAGGTTAAGGCTCAGTTTCCAAATCTAGACTAGACTAGGCCTACTTTGTTATTTGCCGGTAGGCAGTGCGGTAGGTCCTTTTTCATGTTGATAATAACATTAACAATCGACGGGGTCATTGTTTCAACGTTAACATTTTATGAAAGAAAAAAAAAATTCTCCACAGTTTCAGACCCAAGACCAATTTAGATCTTGATTAAGAATAAGATCTTAATGTAGATTTGGTCTGCATCATTATACTAGATCTCAGGGATCTGGGGAATTAGGGTTGATGTAGTCTACACCTAGTCTCTACACTGCACCTTTTGTGCAGGATTAACTTAGATACATCAGAGTTAGTCCCTTAGTCCTAGATCAGCTAGACTACTTGTATGTTTGTGAGATCTAAAATTAAACAGGAGTTAGATCTAGTCTACATCTAACAGTAACAAGTTCGATTTTAGACTAGATATAGAATGTTATGTAGTAGTCTAGGCTCATGTATCGAGCTCTATATTTTGTTTTTCTTCATTTCATTTTTCTTTCAGAGTCAGAGATGGAGTGGACATGGACTCTTGAGTCATATCCAAGAAACAGACCTCTATAGTCTTCAACGTCTCTCATCCTACCTCTGCCCCGAGGAAAGGATATGGATCTGCATAATGTAATCTGATTCAAGGTGCACTGCAAGATCCTACCATACTAAGTGGCCTTTTGATGTGATTATCTTAGCAAAGTTTGAACACCGACATGAAATAAGGGTGAGGTTCTTTTTCTTCTTCATGTTCTAGACCTACATAGAAATAAAGTACTAACTTTTTGTTCAGTTTATAGTCTTTTATATTCATTTATGATAAAGGGTTAAGATTCCGGATATTGGATTTTTCAATAACAAACTGAAAGTGTTGCGTTCTTAATCTATTAGGAAGCCAACCATGACAGGTCAAAAACATAGATACTTGATCAGCCAGATTTTGATCAATTGTGCATAGAATAGGGCAACAGTGAAAGTATAAAGATGTGATTGAACAAACTCTAATTAGCATATTCATGATGTAAGCTGTTTTCTGTTCGTTATATACCATTTAAGGCATCTCTTTTACTTCTATTCCCCAGAGAGTAGTTTTAATCAAACTCTGTACAATAGGGTTCGGTTCAAGATCAGAGTATCCATGATTAAGATTTAACTGTTGTTAGTTTGATATTACAAATAAAAGCTCTAGTTCAAGATCAAGATTTTAAAGAAATGTTTGGGATCATAGTCAAAAGCAAGATAATTCCAGAGTGTATAGAAGTTTCCACATTACACAGTCCACCATAATGGGTTGGACCAAAAACATTTTAATTACAATTAGAATCACTGACGAAAATATGCTTTTGTTCAGTTGAACACATTAGATTAAGTAAAGTGACAACTATTTTTCTGAGAAATATATTTGCTCTCTTCATGAAATATGTTTATCTCCGTTTTCAATCTTAGGTTGCAAAGTAAAGAGCTGTAGCATCTACATGAACTGCAAATCTTATGGCATCTGGACTTTCATACCTAAGGTCTTATTCATCTCTTCAAGTTGAAAAGGTAAGGGTAAGGGTTTACCAGTAAAATTAATTGATCGTATTAGTATGTTTTGTGCCTGTCATCATTGCCATGCCTCTACAGTAATCAATATGAAAGAGAAAAAAACGAAAGAGTAAGTACAGTTTTGATAGTCCTTGTTAGAGATCTAATTCAGATTGTCTCCATATTGTATAAAACATACACAAATGGTTATGAGATTTTTCTTTTCCAAAGCCTAAAAATAAATTATTTATTATTTTTTCTTAACTTGAACTCATTTCGTATCAATATTTTCAAAGAATGTTTTATATCATACTACTTTATTCATTTCCAATCAAAGAAATTGACATGATCAGAAATACAACAGTTGTAGAAAGATTGAACAATTAAACTCGTAGTTATTAATTGTTTTATTACATAACTTTCTATTCCAAATTCTAGACTGCAAAGCCTGAATCCCCTGCAACATTATGCTTCATATGGAACATCAGCCAGCCTACAGATACAAGCTCCCTTTTCCAGCTCTAAGCAAGAGGGACCACAGTGCTAAACAGTTTGTGGACTTGTCGCTTTTTCAACTACGACTTCCATTGAAACAGATTTTCAGATTAATTCATCTGAAGGTATTAAAAATGCTTCAGTCTGAGTCAGGGTACCATGGGTTTGCCATCAGTTTGCCATGAGTATGGGATTATTGGTTTGATAAGAATTCATCAAGTAAGGTCTAAAGGAACTAAGATTTTCAATGATACTTCCAAGAATTCTATTATTTTAAATAGAATGTCAGAATCTTGCGGAAGAAAGAGCAAAATACTAGTTATAGGATAAAGGATAAAAGTAAAGTCATTATCCATATTAAGTTAGCGCTGCTATTTCAGCCTGCACTTTCGAAAAATAGCTTGTTAAGGGTTGTTGCTGATTTTAAAATCTATGATTCTGTCATGGAGGTTTACTGTTTTTAAACTTACTTTACATAGACAAATCCGTTCATGGTGATGAATCTTAAAATATCAAATCAGAAATTTCAAAGGGGCAAATTAATCTGAGCAGCAGTGGATAAATTTGAGGGCCTATTTGGAACTCTCCCTAGAGGTTTTGTTGGCATGACCATGTGTTGATGATTACCTGTTAAAGCCTCAATTGAATATTTTTATAATTTGCCTAAGAACAGCATCAAAATAAACAACTGAATAATGTTACTGCAGTGAAAACATTTTGTCAGGAAATTATATCAACTCGGATTTATATTGTCCTTAAAAAATGTTCAAATCTGATAGAGAAAAATTATAATTAACTTAAACTGGTGTATCATGAAAACACATTTTCACAAACTGCATGACCTCACATGAGAATGTGTATATGCCTTAAATTAACAACCATATAGGTAAGACCAATCTTTAGCACAAATGTTATTCCTTTAATCTCTATCAAATTACACCGAGTAGACAGTGGCATTTATTAGCTGCAATGGCTTACAACTGGCTGTATGTCATGAAAGGATTTTTTTCCAGGCGAGAAGGGAAATGTACTACTCAAAGGAAATGTACTACTCTAAGGTCAATTAGAGGTAGCCAAGCGTAGGATGCATTATTGCATACATTTACATTTAACACACACAGTATATGGAGGTTTGGATATGCATGTTTTTGGGTTGGCTATTTAATGTAGAGATAAATAGAAATAGCTGGATGCCAAGGAGGTTTTTAATGTTAAGGACCTGGAAAAGAAAGGGTACCGTAGCACTGACTTAAAGGGTTCTTCCACAAGGCAGAACCCTTCAAGTCAGTGCTACGGTGCTGACGTTTAATGCACGAGGTAGTTTTATTTAGTGGCAGAAACATTATTCCTGAGAAAGACTTGTTACGTCGGGGCGAGATAAGCTGTCAAGTCGACGGGGATTCTACGCAGTCTAGAGACTGGCCAAGCGACCAGGAGGGACTCACGAGATGGAAGCTGCACTGTAACAAAGTTATGTTCCATTAAATTGTTTATGTGCTGTTGATTTTTTTTGACGCCACGATTTGTTGGCTGAATATTAAACCTTTATTTAAACTTATACAATTGTGTTCTGGTGTGGTTTTCTGATGAGGTAGCAGTGTAAATAATTTTAAAAAAGTCACTCACGTGACACTGTACTTCAATAGCAGTACTTTCATTTGTGTCATTGAAAATGTTTTTATTGTATCCCTTGAATTAATTTGTTATTGCTCAACATATACAAAGTGTAGTTTTTCGTGCATTCAAGCAAAATAAAAACGATTATACTTTAATACCTGAAAAATCTGTGTGAATTATATTTTCTATTTAAGCAATGTACTGTTTTTCATTTAAAAAGAAAAAATGGAGTTGGGGAAAAGAATGAATGGATGAGATTGGACGCTAACGCATGGTAGTTAGGCCAAAAAAAAAAAATTGTTTGGTTGTCCTCGATTGATTTTCTGGAGTAGGGGCGGGCGGGCGGATTTATTTATTTATTTATTTTTTTTTTAACTTCATTTTTTGTGTCTTTTTTTTTTTCTTTCTTTTTTTTTTCCCTCATTTTTTTTTTTTTTAAATATTTTTTTCCATAAAAAAAAAAATCATTGGGATTTTCAAGCCTTTAAACAAACAAAGTCTATACAACACTTTAATATGGTAAAATACTAGCTTAATGTACAATGAATTTTGCATTTTGACATAGAAAAATGAAAATGCCAAGTTTAATAAATACCTAATTGCGTACTGAAAAGACAAAACTGGCAACGGGACGCATTTTGAATTTTAAAAAAAAAAATATTAAAAAAAAAAAAAAAAATACGAGCGGCCCGAAAATGACGAGCGGGCGGTCGAGGACAACCAAATGATTTTTTTGGGGGGCCTTATCATGAAATGATGTGATTTAATGATGGTGTGTTTGTTTGATGGGGAGTATTCAAATAACCTAGCAAAGCTTTTATATTGTTTTACTTTATTCATTTATTCCTTTGTTCCCTTTTTCTTTTCTAGTTTCCTTTTTTTGTGGGGGGGGGGGATGAAACGAGTTGAAATGGGAGTTTGGTTGTGTGTTAATGGGGGTGGGGGTGGGAGAGAGATTATATGAATAGAATAAGGGCACAAATTAAAAAAAATATGGTAATTAATTACCCCTAAATGGCAATTAATTTCGTAAAGAATTCTCCATTTTCCGATACATAACCAAATTGAAGTCGGCCATCGTTTACGCCTTTCAAGCAAATCAATGCTGAACATATCGGATTAATACTAGGATATTTTTTTCGTCCGTTTTCTTTTGAACAGGTTTACTCAGGCTCTCAGTATTAAATGTCATTTCCTGAGAGGCCCTGGACAAATTATATGTCAAAAATACAGAGGAAATTAAACAAAGTTTGAATACGTATTACCTATGATATCATGGATTATTTCTTTACGTTTTTTCAAACATTATATAAACATTTTTTTGTATATATATTTGACCAGCTTAAGCAATATTACATATTTCCTTTCGAAACGAAGATAGATAATTAAAGCGGGAAAGCTGAACTACTCGTTTAGTTTGTTACTCCTGAAAAGAACCATCTCTGGAATTTGAAAAGAAATGATACCATTTATCTTGAAATTTATTTTAAAGCTTCAATCTTTTTTTTAAATTTCATTATGAAACATAATGAAATATCAAATTAAAATCAAATACAATTTAAGGCCTTTAAAATTGATCCGATTAATTTTAATATCAATTTCAAGGCCTCATGAAACTTCCCTGATCTATCCCCTTCCCTCTCCACCTCCCGGAGTATGTGTATGTTGTTGCTAATCATTAAATAAGGCCTACACAACTAAACCGTTCATGGAAAGAAAAAAAAAATCAGATATATAAATCCCAACATGAAAATACTAATAGTATCATAGTTTACGCATTCTCTGTCTGTTTCTATTTCTTAATTTCTTAGTTCTCTGTATGTCTCTGTACTATATATTTTCCCCTCTCTCTCTTTCTCTATCTATCCCCCTTTTATCGCGCTCTTTCTTTCTCTCTATCTCTCTCTTTCTGATTTGTTCTCTTTACTCTAACAGCCAACGCACCTAATACCTCTATCACTCTGTTTTCTGAACATAGGTTATACTACTGTGGAACAAGAGAGGGCGGCAGACTGGAATCCTATCTCAACAGTCTTCAACAATCGTCAAGAGGCATCCTCTCTGTGAATCTTTATCATGTAAGTATTGCTCCACATTGTATGCACTTTACACTTTCACTATTTCTCATTTTCATCTGTATTACAATCGCTTTGATGCTAATATTGTTCAGTATTGTCATTTTCGATATCTAATTTCTAAATGTATATACATGTTTAGGCCTATTTTATTTGTTAACAATTCCTTTCTGTTATATTTTTTCTGCAATTTTTTTTCCTTCTGCTTCATAAGTTTTCAAACTTTTTCTTTTTCTTTTGAGTTCTCGTATCAGATTATTTTGTCTCTGTCCCGGGTCTCTGTCTTTATTGTTGTTGATGATTGTTATAATAATAATAATAAACAATATTTATAAGGCGCTTAATACTGGTGTCTCTAAGCGCACCATATTCTGACTTAACAATTATTTACCCAAACTTATAATAAACACACAACATATACATCTGTTCTTTATTCAATAAATCATGCATATATAATAATAAAAAATAAGATAAGAGTGAGATCAAACATACATACAAGAGGTCAAACATAGGATCAAACATAGGATCGAACAAACAAAAAATAAGACGGTGTGCACCTCCTTTGACCGACTCACAACTGCAGAATATTATTTATGAATTAAAAAGGTGCGTTTTCAGCAAGGACATGAATTGGTCGAGAGAATGAATAATATGAAAGTGCGCTGGTAATTTGTTCCAAAGGATAGGGGCATTTACTGAGAAAGCTCGATCGCCATATTTTGTAACGGTACGAGGTCCGAGGGTTAACTGCAAGGTTGATGATGATCGAAGAGGTCTTAAAGAACTAGAAGAACATAAGGAAATCAAATCTGAAAGATATTTAGGGGCTTGGCCATTGTTATCCTAATTTCCTAGACACCAAATGCTCAACAGAATATCGAAACGTTGCTAAATGACTTAATTCATAATTCTTCTCTCCCATGTGTTCCTATTATATTTGTACACGTACTTCACTTTGTTTCTTCTGTCTAGATTTGCACTTCAACATGTTATCAAATATTATCTTTGTTTTCGGTGTTGTTTCAATGGTACGACTTTTAGTATGATTTATTATCTTTATTCCTTACATGAAATTGAGATTGGTTATTTCTTTAATCACTTCATTGCTGGCTCTTTTTTTTCGGGGGAGGGGGGGGGGGGGCTGCCACTATCGTTATACCATGAGCTCATTCACTTAACCTTAATTTGTTTTTTGTTTGTCGTTTATTTTCCTTTTTAAATTTTTTCCATTTAATTATTGTTTTCAGTTGTGCTACCATTCTTAAACCATTTCTTAATTCTACCATTGGTTATTTCTGAGTTTAATGTTTTATGTTTTTGAATATTGCCCCCTCTGCCATTTTGCTCTCCGTTTGACTCTTTCATATCAATTCCTTTCATAGCAAAAGCGCTCCTCACAATTTCTGTAAATTTGGCAGTTTAACGCTACGCGTACCGCCTTGACCGGACTGTGCGGTATCTGTGCAGTTCTGTGTGTAGAGAGGTCGGGCTGTATTCATATTTTTTGGGGGTGCATAAATTGCTCTAATTATACGTACGCGTGTAATGCGCAAGTTTATTGTGACGGCACTAAACCCATCCCACTCATTGTTACCCTATTTTCATAATGGTACTGACCCAATGAAATGTAGTGCAGTGCGCTCGTACGCGCTGCGCTGCGTGTGTACATGTACTGTACTTATGCATGTTCAGTTATATGTGTATGCATAGCATTACGTACATGCATACGGCTAGCTGGCACAAAACCCTGGGTCGGGCTTCTAAAATGGGACATGAAGCATGATTTGACATGAAAAATGACGGAGCTAAAACTGAATCAATCAAAATGAAATTTATATGTATGAAAAGCTTACGTATTATATGTCATTGTCTGTGATTGAGGATTTACAAATTTGACGCAAAACGCGTTGCTGCAAAGTTAAAGATTGGTTTATTGAAAGGCAACCGAGCACAGTACGACCGATCCATTGACATTGTGTATGAGAGAGTAATTTTTTTAAATGGATTGTAAAGTTCAACGTCAAAGTGACGGAGGTTTTTTTTCAAGTAAGGGCATGGTTTTACATGGAATGTAAAGGAAATGTTTCCTTCTTCTCATATCTCGATTGAGGATATTATTCTCAATTTCGATTTTTAATGGTAAAGAAAAGTGTAAAAAGATGTCGAGAATTTTACCATATGTCATGTAATATAAAATGCGCGCGGGTCGGTTGATCTCCCAAAAGGAGCGCGAAGGAATTGATATGCTCTCTATTTGGGGCGTTATTTATCTGCAACAAAGTCGGCGCTCAATGGGAGGGGGCACAATGCCCCTATTTCTTTCAAGTACACCAGAAGTGCTTCCATTCACGGAAGAAAAGTGTTAATTTGCATTGTGCCGCTCTTCTTTTTTAAAGTGTCCCTTCTCCTTTTATTATGTCCCCCTCATCAAATTTGCAAGGTGCCTTTTACTTTGACAAATGAACCTTTTCCTTTCTTATGAATTCCTCTTTCCCGTTTTTTTAACTGCCCATTTTCATCTCTAATGTATGCCTTTTTTAACCAACCATACCATAATCTTAATCATATAACTAACTTGACATGGATAACAATAACAGTCATGCACGTGTTTACAAACAAATGTATGCAAAGTGTCAAAAGGATATATATATATATATATATATATATATACATATATATATATATATATATATATAAATATATATATATTGGATAAGGCAGACTAATGGAGCATGGTTGCAACTCCGAGTTTCACGCCTTGCGAGCGATCATCAGGCAACTGATAGCATGATTACTCTACAATCTACAATACGTATTGTAGATTGTAGAGTAATCATGCTATCAGTTGCCTGATGATCGCTCGCAAGGCGTGAAACTCGGAGTTGCAACCATGCTCCATTAGTCTGCCTTATCCAATACATATTTTGCTCTGCCCATAAGCATTGAGCACTGTACGGAGGTATAGACCAAATCTAAGTATATAAATATATATATATATATATATATATATATATATATATATATATATATATATGACCATGCAAATTATTCAGCATTAATGAGAAAGAGAAGCAGCGAAAGGTAAAGGAGAGAAGATATTAGTAGAAGAGCAGATAACAGAACTAAGCAGAGTGACCGAGAAAGGAAAAGAGTTAGGTAGAAGAGGATTGATAGGAGAGGGTATGTACACTATAGGTTAATTCATTGGTCATAGCTGTTATACATTACATATCTGTCTTTACACGGAATATAATGTATATAACAGGCGAGGTATTGCAACAGTTTTTGAATACTGAATAGGAATGAAATGAACATAATAGGTTGAAGGAAGAACAGGAATGTTAGAAGCGGAAAGAAGGAAACAAGCAAAGGAATATAATGAGACAAAGGAGAAAACGACAAGGGAAAAGAATCTGGTGCGAGCGAGCGAGAGAGAGAGAGAGAGAGAGGGAAAGAGAGAGAAAAAATGTAGGTAAGAAGTATTGGTATATCATAGGAATAAATAGTTTGCTATGTTATTATTCATTCATGATTTTGCTACGTACAAAGAATATATAAACAAGATACATTAATGTAACATGCATTGTTCAAGTAATGTAACATTGAATTAGAGTTAAGTAGATAAATGGGGAGAAGGAGGGGAGGAGGAGAGGAAAAACAGAAAGGGGACAGAGGGGAGGAGAAAATTAGAAGAGGAATGTGATAAGATTTAGGATACAGAGGAAAAGTGAGAGGTATAGAAATGAAAGGGAAATAGAGGGGGAGAGAGAGGGTGAGCGAGATGGGGGAGGAAAGAAAGGGAAGGGGTTGAGAAAAGTTAGAAGTAAGAAAGATTGGGGACATGGTGTATTTCTACGATACGATCCGACTGCAACTCATATAACTACTTCTCCGCATCACCCACTCTTACATGCAGACCCCGCTGATAGTTTTTCAAAGTGGGTGGGGGTAACTATTTACGATCAGGTAGAGTGTAGCGTAAATTGGCGGGGTCCAGGGGGTGGAGCCCCCTGAAGCTCAGAGATTTTAGGCAATAAAATACGGTCAGATGTGCATCCAGGGGTCCGCCTTAGGGCTTAAGGCCCCTGATCCCCACCGCTCTGCGGTTCCTGAAATGTAGGCCTCTAAAAAAGGAAATTTCTTGCGTGACTGTAAATTCAAGAATTTGCCATGTTCCAACAAACGTCTACAAAATTATGATTGACTAAAAAGTCACTTCAGCAACATTTGTAAATCACCGGTATCGAAAACAGAAATTAACCCGATAACCCCCCCCCCCCCGGATCTACACCTTGATGGCGGGAAAATCGGAACTGATCTCCCCTACCTTTCACCCCTTTCTTTTCTTCTTCCTCTTTGTTGTTCCCTTTTAGCTCTCATATTTCCCTTTCCCTTCCTTCTCTCTTTTGTTTGGCGGGGGGGGGGGGATGGGAAAGGCTCTTTCGGCTCTCCCCCGATCCCCTCTTTTCCCCCTTTTCTTTTCTTCCTCTTCTTTCTTTCCCTTTCCCTCTTTACCTTTCTCTCGCTCTCTCTTTTTTTTTGCGGGGGGGGGGGGGGGGGGGGGGGGAGCCGAGCGGGCCTTGCCCTGGATCCGCGTCTGCTCTCCACCCAGGTGTTTTGATACCCGGTCGCGACTTTTTATATTAAAGGTCAAGACCAGTAATCGAAACGCCCCAATTTCAAAAAATGAAATGGAAGCTCTCATTACCAATCATGTGAAAGAATATGTTTTGACTAATACATGATGATAAAAAGTTTGCCGGGAGACCGCCTACTAATTCATATATTTGGTAAATTTGCCGGGAAACCGCCTACTAATTCATATATTTGGTAAATTTGTTTCTCTCATGGTTTGTAAGAGATATAGGGTAGTCCCATATACATCTTTCTGTGTATAGTGCTTGTAACTTAACGAAGAATGGGCCAAATTTCTTATCATTTTGATGATTCCAGAACCTTGCAGATGCTAGATGCTAGATGATCAACCTTTTCTGATCGATTCCAAAACGTTTCTTTCACAATGCAATCGCTTGACCATAACTGGTCTTTACCTTTAAACCTAACTGCCGCTGCAAGAAACCTATACGTCATGCGCCAGTCATTAATGTTAATGATACGCACGCACACAGAATCTGATGCAATAATTTATCAAATAATGAGGTTTCATTAAAAAAATTACAAGTACAAAGCTATGTTTACTCAAAATAAATGACATCGCGAGAAAAAAAGGGAGGCTAACCGTAATCGAATGACTACCAAGGTTGATTTCAATGACCGGGCTAATAATAATTACAGTGTATAAGCCATTATAAATGTTGTATTAAGCGCTTCAAGTGTGAATATTGAGGGTGAGATGAAGAAATATTATTAGATAAACACATGTATTAAATACAATCTTATCCATTTCTATCGACATTAAATGAGATTTGTTTCGCAGGGTATTTGTAAAGACTGCTAACAATATTTGTTACATCAAATGGAAATTTATCAATCTCACCAGATACTGTTATAATAATAATAATGGTGGCTTCTTATATAGCCTCGTGAGCTCAATTTTCAGGAGGGCACTGTTGTATTTAGAATACAGGTCAGAGAGAATGATCCGCAATTTCCTGTTCGGGGGTTATGTCTTGGTCGCAAGGTGATACCGGGATGCCACACGGGAGCACATCATTCTAGTGCATTGCGTATGAACGAAGTATGTACGGTCAACAGAGCTTCTCCAGGGGTGTTGTCGTGACCTTCAATATACATGTATATTATGTAGAGATTGGATGATCCCTATTCCTACCTAATATGTGCCATTTTTCCTTCTGACATATGTTCTCTTTTTTCCTTCTAAATGCCCCTTCCCCTTCTTATGAATGTTGTTTTCACTTCTAATTATGTGTTTACTTCAAATATGATAAGGTCCCTATCTTAATTTTGATAAGTGTCCCTTTTCCTTTCTAATAACTTCCTTTTGAAAAGTCACCTTTTTAATTATATTTTTTACTGTCGCTTTACAAAGTTTACCCTTTTGTCTTCATTGGAAGAACCATATTTGGTTTTAACATCTTTTTAATTAACTGTAAATCTAAGCATTCCAGGAGCTCTTGTAGCGCAGTAGAATATATATTTAATGTTGGATAGTTTCTGCGCTCTATAAATGTATTATTATTATTATTTACGAATGTGAGCAGCGTGTTGTATCTTATCGAGTGCCCTATTTCTATCACCGCAATGCAAGGCAGTAGAGCCAGTGACTGGATTGGGGCATAATGCCCCGAATTTCATAAGAACTGTGCCGTTTTGTTTAAGTGTGCCCTTTCACACTAAAATAATTGCCCTTATAAACTACCATTACTTGGCATCTTCAAACTTACTATCATTTAAACCCCATGAAATTGCGCTTCATAGACTGCCTTAGGCTATCAATTGCACTTTATTGACGGAAACAGTATATTTAGAAAAGGGAGAAGCTTTCAAACTCAATACAACGCTTCCTTAAAATGTGCCCCTCATTTCAAATAACTGAGAGCAAGTTTTAGTTTAAAATTTTCCAAAAAAAATAACAGTTTATCTTCATTAAGTAACGGATCAAGGGTCTTATTCATTCTTTCATTATAAGATTATGCTTGAAACCCCATGAGGACAGCCGATCCACATAACATCCCAGGTAGAACTATGGATCCTTGCGCTCGATATCCGTAGGTACGACCTAGGCCAGTGCCGTCTCCCCGTCTTTAGTGACGCAGAATCCAAGGTATAACCAGGGAAACTGGTCTCCGTATAGCAGCATGTACATTACGCTGATCCGTTACATACGTAGACAAACATTATAAGCGAATAATGGCGCTTGGTATTAAAGGATGCTGATTGATTTTAAATAGTTTTTCTGTTTGCATGTAGACCTATATATTACATTTTAAAAAGACGTCGTTTGAATTTTGAGCCCGGGTATAGCAGGAGTAGGCCTACCTTCGTTTCTTCTGGTGTTATTTGCTAATGTTAATTGAACTTGATGGCGGCGATTTTTGTTTTGGTCTTAGCTGGGGGGGGGGGGGCGGGGGTGCATTGTGGTTTTAAAGGTTTTGAGTGCTTTTCCCATCACACAGTCTAGTCTATTATCCATGACAAAATGTGGGGGTGGGGGGAGGGCAGTCTTGACTCACCTTTTGCTGAAAAATATGACGGAATAAACCAAAAATGCATTAAAAAGATTTGTTTTTCTAAATTTCGGGTGACGACCCCTCTAATAACTCATGGAGATACGTCCCCCTATTTGTCCTCTTGTATTTTTTCCCTTTAAATAGGTCTTAGGTTGTATAGCATTTTTAAAACATAGCATACTCTCTTCTTGCATTTTGTCAACATTTTAGGGGGGACGATCCAGTGATTGGACCCTCACCCCATCTCTTCCTGTAAAGGGAGTTCTGTCCCCAAAATATTTCGATAAGGAAGAGAAAATAAATGGGGGTCTAATGACGAAATAATTTTGTTTAATGGGACAAATTGTAAAAGGGAAAAATAAAAGTGGGACTGATACAAAACAGTCAAGAATATTTATGTTAAATGGGCGGGAGGGGGGGGGGGAGAGATTCATGATGATCTTCAATATGTGTTATGCAAATATTATCAAATTATGATATTGAAGGAAATGCATATCTGAGCTATTACAAATCTATTTAATACTGGAATACTACTAAATTGTATTTTTTGTTCATCGTTATGGAATGTTTGCACAATAGTATCATAATTGACCATATCACTTTGTTTTTCGAACGTGATTGTATACGGTATTGTTCATGACATATTGTGTTTTTACACAAACAAAAGTATATATAGGGCCTTTCCCCCTACCCCCCTTTAATTTTTTTAAATATGCATGAGCATCTAAATGTTTGCGAACATTCCTACGATAACCAATTTTGTTCAATTTCTAACTATCATGTATATTCGAGGTCGACATGAGGTGACTTCAGGAGGCTTTAATGCAGCGCATGTAATGTGCGTGCTGGTTGTTATAATAATCGTAGACCTTTAAGTTCATGTTTATAGTCTAGAATTCCATACTCCTATGTTGTTCAAAATGTTAGTCCCTGTTATAAATAGATATCAATGTGAATAGGCACCTATTATCACAACAATTGTGCTCAGTAACATACATGTGTGTGAAATGTGTACCTTGTCCATCCATATTGACTCTGTAAAAACAAAAACTTAGTATACACGAACAACTTTTCGTTCGTTTGTAAAGACTACATTGCATTCTTTCATTCAGTCATGAGAAGATAACAATTTGCAAATGAAATGGATTTATCTTAAGATGAGATGAATTGAACAGTATTGTATCAACAATCATACAGCGTCACAATTACATAAAATAAATTTGGCTGATACCATAAAGCACTGATCTATACATTTCTCAATGTGTTTTTTTTTTATTGTAGCGTCTTAAATTTAGACTACAAAGGCTTTTTATCGTAGTTGCACGCCTAGGCAATTTTGCGTTTTAATATTAGATCTTGTCTTTTCAAATAAACTTACAAATGAAAATAAGCATGTTAATAAACATTTTAAACTTTGTGTTAAGTCTTGATTTTAAAATACTTAAGGTATTAAAGATATTTACCCTTAGACGCTGTCATCATTTTGGGATAATTAATACACATGCCCGTTCAGCCTGAAATCAACCGTACTCCATCAAAGACCCATAATTACAAGATATTCTACTTCACAGCACTTTTGTAGTACTCTTCGAAAGATACGTGCACCATAGGTCAACACGTGAAAATATGTTTTAAAAGCCCGATTTTTGCACGAGACGAAAGGATGAATATCTTAAACTTTCAACCTTCAATTGATTTCCCAGAAATAGCGTCATAATAAAAAAATTATCGTCAAATCTATGGGTGCTTTTCACGACTGGCCTGCCATAGAAAGGACCATCCCAGTAGACCGATAACCCATTAGATGGACACTTCCAACGATAATGACAAAGCTATGAATTACACGAGGGAAGATATAGGAAAATGTCGGTCTCGTGGGTTGACAGTCTAGTGAACCTAAACAAATACTGTTGTCTGGTCAAAGAGCTCGACAACCGCGGTTGGCCTCAGTGCCTGTCGGTTTCGAGCTGCATCCGCGTAATTCGAATGATTTTTAAGCTTTATAAAAGTTTATATTGTTATTTTATCACAAATTATTTTATAGAAAATATTAAGGGAAATAATAGGGAAAGGGAGGGGAGGGAGGAGGAGGGAGGGCAAGGCAATGCGAAAAACAGTATACAAACCCCTCCCCCACCCCTACTCAACTGCCCTATTCATTCTATACTTACATTTAATTAACTTTGTCACACATGCCCCCCCCCCCCCCCGGGCACCTTTCTCCGCTTCACAGTGGTCACACAATGATCCTTACAAATTGGAGAGTGAAAAAACATTTTGGAGGAAGAGGGAAAGTGGAAATAACACGGTACGACCTCTCTCAAACCTCCCTACTTCCCTAGCATTTCCTTGTGCGAAACTCGCCTTATACACCGCCCACCCCCTCCCCACTCCCCCTCTCCATTCCATATAGAGGCGTTAAAACGTTTTCAAAGAGGAGAGTGGTAAAGCAAGGAAAAGAAGACGCAAAGAAATAAAGAGAAAGGGCAATTAAAAAAAAGTATATAATAATAATAATAATAATAATAGCTCGTTCTTATATAGCGCTTTTCAGGACCGGAGGCCCTCACAAAGCGCTTTACAGATAAGTATATTATTACCCCGGTCATTGGATTCAGGCTTACCCTGATATATGATACGAGCTCCTCCCATACCCCGCCCGCCTTATTCTTTCACACTTCAATTACCGAGTTATACCAATGACCGGAAACCGAACATTGAGAGCGTTAGTGCAGCTGCTGGGACTCGACCCACAAAAATGGGATTCACAGTTCTTTGACGGGCCCACTAGACCACGCACCTCTAAAGATGTGGTGCCCCTTGGATCTGGCACACACATTATTTTGGAAATACTTACTACTATTCTAGTACACTAACAAATGTAACAATTAATATTATTATCATTATTATTATTTATTCAGCAAAAACAAAGAAAAGTATTGAATACAATTTTAAAACAAGAATTAAAATGAAATTCGATGCATTGCGTTGCAACAGAGAAAAAAGACAAAATTGGATGCAAAATCTTTTTTAAATAATAATTTCTACACTACCGTACATTGAGCTTCAACCTAGTAAATCTCGTTTTCACGAAGGACAATTAGTAAGTATCTGCAGGGTGAACTAAGTATGGTGAGAAGGGGAATGCAAACTGTGTGTCGATGATTATTTTGGGAATCCCACCGACTCTTTCATGCTCTTTTGATTGCGTACAATTTCCTAAAATCTTGATTTCTCTGAAAAAAGGGCTTATTTTTCTCACCAAATATAACATAAATACAACAGAATGTGAACTAAATAGAACCGAAATGAATGCTTTAAACCACATTAAAGTATATAGAAGAAGAAAAAAACCGTGATATAACGATTTCTCTACCTGAACTATGAACTTCACAGGACAACATCAGGGGCACCAATCCCTCCCTACCAAACCCCAGTTGCGGATCCAGGGGGGAGGGGGAGGGGGAGGGGGTGGCTGATTCCTCCTCCCCTGGCAAGAAGAACAGGTTTTAAAAAATGGTAACGTTAATTTTACCTTTAAAAAAAATAAGACGCCCCCGGAAAAAAATGAGGGGGAGGGGTTGGGTGAAAAATAGTGCTCACTACCACCCCCCCCCCCCCCCCTTTCGCTCATTCGCCAGCGGGCTGATTTGCTGCTAAATATTTTCTCACGAATTGGACCAACGACAATAATAGGGCTCATTCATTACACCCCCTCCCCCCCCCCCCCCCCCCCGGATCGTCAGCGGTTAAATCGTCAAGCTCGGAATATGTTTCACGTCATTGAATTAATGTAGTAGTTATATACTTATTTTAAAAAATATGATAGGAACGTGTTTTATTTTTCATTTGTCTTTGTTTTGTTTGAGATGCATACAATAATTATTATCCGCATAAAGAAATGAAGAAGATATTGGCCTTCTTTTTGATGAAAAAATATCCATCCATCAAACCAACTCAAAGAAATAGTCCACTTTTTGGTTATTTTGACATGGACCTCTTTAGCTCCCCAAAATTGGTTATGCACTATATATTTACTTAATAAAATTAAGAAGATTGAATAAGCTAGGAAATAAGCTTTCTGAACATCAAGGATAAAAACATTGCATTATATTTCTAAAAGAATGCTATAGAAGGATACAATTTAACAAAACGAGAAGAACAATCAAAAGTGATATGGACAAGTAAGTGCAATGACCATGTGCATGGGTCTAGATATTGCTTTTCAGAGTAGTTTATTCTATCAGCCTCCGTATATATGACTACAGTCAACCTTGATCGACTGAGGAAAAAAAATCATTTCTTATTCCAATACCAGGCATTTCTCAGCGGTAGAAGAAATCTGTTACGTCCTATCTACTTCTTTCAATGATTTTATTCTTTTCGTGCGTTTCACGGCGTGTACATTTGGGTCTCGAATAACGAATGTGTATATTCGTGTCTCGAATAAGACTAGGATTAAGGCTGCGCACCATCGCGGACGCTATTTTAAAGGAACAATCCGCAATGTTTAATGCTTGCCTCGGCATGATTGTCATGTTACAGTTTTCTTATCAAAAATGGTTTCAGAAAAGAGAAACAATTTTTGAAATTATGTTTG